ATCCAGGCGAGAGGTGACAAACGCATGCACGAGGGTTTAGGTTGCGTTTGGAGTAAGGTACAGTTGGAGGCGGGCAATGTGGTAGGTGGAGGAAGGCAGTCCAGGTCAGGGACCCGATGTGGGGGAAGAAGGATAACTGGGGGTTGAACCAGATGCCTAGATTGCGCACTGATTCGGTGAGTGTGAGGAAGAGCCAAGGGAGGTTGGAAGAGTTTAGATATGCAGGAATGAAGGTGTTGACTGGAGCCAAGGAGTATGGTTTCTGTCTTGTCCATATTCAGCTGCAGGAAGTTTACACTCATCCAGGAATGTATGCAAGTGACAGGGAGAAATAATTTCAGGGGCTTTACATTATTCACATTCATATAATAGCAGAAACCAAGAGTACTTTTTAAAATTTATACATTTATATATACTGCAATATATTTTTTCATAAATATTAAATCACCTTCCTCCTCACAGGAATTTTTGGGAGAAATGCCACCAGGGATTTACTCCATTTGTGTACATTTCAGATACTGTTCAAATGTTGGCAAATAACGAAACACAGCCTTAATTTTGAAGCTGACTTTCTGTTAGTTCTTGTAAGAATTCCACAGAGAAGCCAGCTTCAAAGTTCATGTTAAATTCAGCAATTTGACAAATTATGGACACTTATAAATGTTATATGGAGTAAATCTAGACACAGGGGAAATTTATCACAAGAGCAAGTACACCCACAAGCAATGGAATATGCATCATAAGAGCTTTTCTAGAAATTGTGTTCTTCCGATAAGTCATCTGTGTATTAGTCAATGTTTTGTTTCACGTTACTTTTAAGAAGGTATTGCGTATATACATATGTCTGACAAGCTACTTAATTGAATAACAACTGAATACATAAATGCCACCGCAGCATAAGACACATGCCGTCTAAGTACTGAAACTGCTAGGTTGTTCCATAATCTAGGGGGATGATTGGTTTACGGGTATAGCACTACTTCCTATGTCACAGTAAAATTGTTGACTAGGCTGGTTCCATACAAAGTGCAGACTAATTTCCTTTATAATTTAATGCCACAGTTGACATCTGTTCCCTACCAAAACAAAACAGACCATCGTGATAATATAACTAACAGCTTCATAAGAGCTTCATAGTACCTCTGACATTCCCCACCAAGCATTTGTTAAGCAAATATTGAACTGCTATTAAATAACGTATTACAGACATGTCAACAAGAAAATTTCCAAAAAGATAACAGCACACCTCAGCCAACCAGTAAAATTGCTCAGTCTTTCTGTATGCTGACAGCTAGCTTCTAGTCAAACTTTTCATATTATTGATGTTCTAACCATACTGTCACTTTTGCTTGCAGTAATGTTTAAACAAGTGACTGGCGAGTGTCTAATAGATCTCCAGATATTTCTACAACACGACTGAGACATCTTATTGGCTACAATACATTACAAAGCCAGGCTCAATTCTCTTGTTGTGGGGAGAAAATATTTGGGTATTAAAAACCCACTCTAGGATCCTGTTTAAACACACTTGGCACTTTGTGGGAGGTCAAACTGATTAGTGATTGGATAATAATAATCTTTGCATTTGATATAGCGCTTGTAACATCCAAATGACACAGAGTACAACACAGGTAATTGTTGTCAAGGGAAGGGGCTGAGTATTTTGTAGGCAAGGCCGACAGCCAATTTGTATACAGCAATGTCCCACAAACAGGGATAAAGTGAATGATCAATTTTACTTGGAAGTTTGCTGACCAGAACACTGGGAGAAACTTCCAAATAATTATTCCATGGTGCAACATTCTGTTCCTAACACTGTATATCCCAGTTGTTGACATCAGGAACCCACCCCCCACCAACACTGTCAACTTCATTCATTCACCATTGGCGGGCAGGCCTTCTGCCACTCTGTCCCCAACCTCTGGAATTCCATCCCGCAGTCCCTCCACCTCGCCCCCTCCCTTACCTCCTCAAGACCCTCCTCTTTGACCGTGTTTTCTATCACCCTGCTTCCTCCCCCTGCCCTCCACCCTCCCCAATCCCGACCCCGAAATACTGACTGTCCAGCGCCTTGGGAAGTCCTCCTGATGTGAAATGTGCTTTACAAATGTAACTGTTGTTGTTTCCACCATAAAAGTGTTTAGGAATTACACTTTAGTGTACTTTAAATCAGTCTAAATACGAGCTACTCTCTGGGAAGATGCTCTCTAGGTGATCCCCAGTCAGGTGATCCGAGATGGGTGGTTTCTATCGAGATGCTGCTGTCACGTTGCTATTGAGGATTGATGAGACATGCTGAGAAAGGAAATCACTTGTGTTCTATGACCACGTGGCCCTGATATATAGCTAAATAACAAGACCCTAAAGCTTCTACAGTTTAATTCTTCACAACAGGTTGCAACAAGCTTAGATTGAGTAAAATACAAGTTAATTTTTACAGAAATAATAATGAGCAACCTAGAGTGAATCATTTCAGAAAACAATTTCCTGAAGCTGCTTACAGTCTTCTTCAAGATTAACTACATTCCCTTTGAGGAACTTGAGGGGTTTATGGAGAACAAATCCGAAGCAGCAATGGAAGTGTAAAAGTAACTTCATGGCTGTTTGTGGGACATTGCTGTGCACAAATTAGCTGCCACATTCGCTAACAAAATACACAATCATTAAACTTCAGAGTAAAACCTGTAATATGCTTTGATACATCTTCCTGATGTGAAAATACAATGAATGTTTTTATTATCCAATGTTATAATTATAGAAGTGAACTGCTATTCACACTAGTAAAGAAACAACTTGCTTATCATTGTCAAAATATCTCATAGCACCTTAAAGTAATTACTGTCACATGTAGTGTAGGCAAACAAGGCTGATAAGCAGTTTAAAGATTTATGTGCTAACACAGATGTTCCACGACATTATAAACAGGTCACATTTCGGTTGTGTGCTAACAGCATTTGTTATTTTCCAAGCCAATAAGCACAATAATGTGGTTACCATTCTGCTGTAGCTACAGTGTTTTTAACAGATAAACTTTGATACAGAATGCCACCCTCTGGAACTCCATCCCACAATCCCTTTGCCTTGCTCCCTCCCTTACCTCCTTCAAGGCACGATTCAAGACCCTCCTTTTCGACTGTGCCTTCAGTGCCTTCCTACCTCTCTGCCCTCCCTCACCCCAATCCTGCCCCCCATGCTCGGGTCCTGATCCCCGACTGTTCAATTCCTTGGGATGTGCTCCTGACATGAAAGGCGCTTTACAAATGTAATTTTGTTGTTGTATAAGTATGTTATTGTATAAGTTGTTGTACAAGTCTAAGCATAATGCAACTTCAGTCCATAATTTTGCATTTATACAAATGCAATTTGTTGTTGATTTGTTTTATGGTGAAACAATTAGATGGACATTACATTGTACTTGCAGTAGGTACCAGGGATGGTGCAGCACGTGCAAAAGAGAGGAAAGCCTATCAAGGTTCCTTCTTCTCATCACTATCTGGTAAACCCTGTTAAAAAGTGTAGGTATGTTTGTGATGTCAGGTCAGGATAGGATCAAGTTTGGATGTCATATCCTTCAACTGGCTACGTTAACATATAATTAGTTAATAAGCAATTTGGACAAGGTACAGGGGAAATAACTGACATCTGTGAATCTGTTCTAAGCGCTCCGAGATGCTACTTTGTGTGAAGGACACTATATAAATTCAAGTTGTTGAATTTTTGTAAGTTAGTGACTCCAAGAAATTACAGCTGAATGTCACATTTTTCATTCCTTAATAATTTCTCTCCCATCTCCAATCAGGTGTCATTGCCTTCAGGAGACAGGAGGGAAATTATTAAGGAATAAAAAATGTGACATTCAGCAGTAATTTCCTGGAGTCACTAACTTACAAAAAACTTGACACCTGAATAACTACAGCATTCATGTGGTTTGGGTCACTTACCGAACAGTATTAATAACCAGCAGCCTGCCACATATCCCGTACTTTACCAGACAGACATGTGTATTTGGAGTTGATTGTGACTTTCTAAGGTTGAAAGTGTAGGTGGGTCATATTCTGGGAAATTATTTATAAGTAATGAGCAACACAAAGTGTTCTAGGGAATCCTCAGGTTAAAACCAGGATTTGTGCCACACGTTAGCTGATAATAATAATAATCCTTGCATTTGATATAGCATTTTTCACGTCGGGAGGACGTCCCAAAGTGCTTCACAGAACACACTGTAAAATGAATTGACTGTATATTTGTGGGCGAACTCGGCAGCCAATTGCGCACAGCAATGTCCCACAAACAGTCATAGATTGAAAATGACCAATTTTTATTATTGTTTTTGGTTTTAGAGGGATTATTATTAGTCGTGTGGAGTAAGGAAACTTGCCCAAGGTTTCACCCTGCCTGGAATTGAACTCAGGTCTCTCACTTGCAAAACGAGTGCTCTAACCACTGAGCTACAGGACTCCAGCTACAGGACTGATCTTTGCTGTAGAAGGGAAAATGCAAATGTGCTGCTCTTCGGCAATGGGAAATGTACATGACTGAAGCCCAAATGAGGACAGAAGCAGGCTTAGCTGTGAAAGACCTACAGCTGAATAACCTGCTGGGATGTTCAGCCTGGACTAACATAGGCTGCTGATCACCTGGTTAAGACACTGGAGAGTTGCTGGGAACAATGAGCTATGCCTTTATTATATAATCCCACAAAATAATTTGGACATGACTGTTTATGAGCGATTGGCTGCTGCATTTCACCCACCCACAAAAGATACAATCAATTCACTTTACAGTATATTCTGTGAAACGCTTTGAGACGTCTCAACGACTTGATAAGGCGCTATATTAAACGCAAGTATGATTATTGCCCTCTAGAGGTCACTGCCTTCGAGAGACGAGGGAGAGATTGGAACGGAAAGGAGTATTTAGAGGACAGGCATTCACTAATATGGAATTAGCAGCTTATGTCAAACCCAGTGTTTCCATATTATACCTATTTCTGTATTCAGGATGGCTCCGCTCCATATGGTTCAAGATACGTTGGCTCTATGGTGGCAGATATTCATCGTACATTGATGTATGGAGGAATCTTCATGTATCCTGCCAACAAGAAAAATCCAAAGGGAAAGGTATGTTTTCCTCACCTATTAACTGGCAGACACTCATGAGACTGTGTGGTTTACTCAGAGTTGAACGCTAGCAGTTATTACAAACTAAACAAACAGAAATGGCACATTCACTGGGACTCTCTGACTTGCAAATCTAGCACATCAAACAACATCTGATATTTGTGAACTGGAAATTGGAACAAATGCAACAAATCCAGCTTGTGATTACTGTATCATCTATTAGTCTCCCATTGTCGCCTGGTTAGTGCAGCTTCTGTCAGTTGGCTGACAGGAATCATTGAAAAAAAAGCCTGAAATCCCCAATGTTCTTCCATGGACCACAATGACAGTCAAGTGAGGTTAAACAGATAACAACTACTTCTGGTGTAATAAAAAGTGTAAAGCTTGTTGTTACTTTGCAAAAAACTACAGTTGCTACCACTGTCAGATAGTTATCAGAAATGATGTACGTGAGTGGCAAATGGACCAGGAAGGTCTTAGAAACAATCTCGCTGCTAGTTCTCAAGTGATATGAATCAGTCTGCAGGTCGATCGAACAAAACCCAGATATTGCCTTAAATTTGTGTTGTGTGTATATATATATATATATTTTCTTTTAAACATAGCTTCGTCTTCTGTACGAGTGCAACCCAATGGCCTTCATCATTGAGCAGGCTGGCGGACTGTCTACCACAGGAACCCAGTCTATCCTCGATGTACAGCCAGAATCAATCCACCAGCGAGTTCCCCTCATCATGGGATCCCACGATGATGTTCAGGAATTCATTGCCATTGTAAAGAAACACCAAACTGGGGCCTGAATTCTCACAGGGCCGACCCCACTATGTTAGCCTTGTAAAATTTGGGTTTCAGAAAGCAATGTTCAGAAAGCAATAAAGGATTGAAACAAAAATGAATATACAGTGCCTGTTGCTCAAAAAATAGTATAAAGAGCACAAAAATCAGCTCAACAGCAGCAATATGTACCATAATATTCTTTGTAGTTATGATTTGATTGTACTTTGGTTTGTTTACATTGGTTCAACAGAATAGAAAATCAGTTCAGCAGGGTTCAAAGTGATGTTTGAATACTGCCTGGACCACATAAGCCTTAAGAGATGCATCAATTGCTTATTTCTCCAAGTTTATTTCTACATGTGTATTTATAATGATATTCCAGTAAAACTAAACATTAATGCAGCTTCTAGTTGGTAAAGACTGGGTATTAAGGCTGCAGATACAGAATGTCAAACAATAAAACTCTTTAACCAAGGAATCCAAGGCATACACTCAACAGAATGAATGGTGAACAATTAACAATGAACTTCTTTGACACTCACTACTGCTAAGGGTGCACCTTGCTTTTTGCAAAAGTCTAGAGATCACCCACCCATAACAACAACAAGCATGCCATGCAGGATTTTGTAATAATGGTAACAGTTGTTCAGTCAAGTGTAAAGAAATGTTCTAAATCTTACAGAATACAACTTCAAGCAGTAATAAAATGAAGCTTAATTGTGCATTCAACTCCCTTGGTGCAGTAGTCTACACAACTGCTAGTTTATTTGACAGAACCCACAGCACAATAAAGTGCTGTTTCAACATTGTGTGGCAGGGTTTCAAAAAAAAAGTAGCTTCCCCTCCCTCACACAATATATTCATGAAGAGCACAACATACAAAAACATTGAAAAGTTTCAAATTCAATACATTGTAAAAGCTTGTTATAGTTTTACCCTCAATTTTCTCACTTCCTCAGTCATTTGGGGGGACAAAGTGATGTTATTAGGTATTAGGATTTGGTCAGCCAGATGTGACATGTGAAAACCTGAAGGAGCATCACAGTGCTGCCACACTTACCACCCTCACTCTTCCTCACCTCTCTGTACATGTTGGTGGGGAACTCAAAGGGACTTCAGATGAATTCTGTATATCCATGCCAGTAATACAAACATGGTAATAATTCTTCCAAATTTTTAAAAAATAGTCACTCAGTCCACGACTGTTTGTGGGACACTACTGTGCACAATTGGCTGCTGTGTTTGCCCACAAAATATAGTCAATTCACTTTACAGTATATTCATTGAAGCGCTTTGAGACATCTTGAAGATGTGATCAGATACTACATCAAATGCAAGGATTATTATTCACTACACACCCACAGAAATGAACTTAACACGCATCAATGGGAAAATCATGAGCTTTTGCTTATTTATTTAACTCACTAAGTCAAGGTATCCTTTGGAACTTTTTCACAAAAATCTGCCAATTCACCATCTCAATTCTGCTGCCCCTTTTCAATATTTATAGCTCCACATCATCCCAGATACTTATTCCAGTGAAAGACATGAAGTGCATGTTGTTGACCAGAGAAAAGGGAGGCAACAATAATGCATATGTTTATTTAGTTTACAATGCTCCAATTTAATTAACTGAAAGCTAGTAAAATACACAAAAAATACATACTGACTATCCTCCAGAATGGGGTAAATTAGGTAAAAAGGGTGCATTTTCTCCTCAGAGAGAATGCACATTCTATTCCATACAGGAAAATTTCTATGTGTAGCCGGCATGCAAATGTAAAATTCTGTCTGGTTTATTTAGCAAGGTGATGAGCACAGGTTTCTGTAGGTCAGACATTTGACTGACTAAGATAAAACCGCACATTTCCCTTTCGAGTTGCCTGAGTATTCCAAGGTGAATTGTAGCATCTTCATTGATTTCCCTGGTGAAAGACCACTTATTCAACCTAGACACTCAACACAGAAAAAATTACTTGGGAGATAAATTAGTGTGTTGGTGCAATGGGCTTCACAGGAATGCAGGAAGTGCCAGCAACCTAAGAAAGGTTGCAATTTCCCACATTCAGCAGTAGATACCAATTATAGCATCCCATAACTATGGTGGTCACCTAACTGCTACACCAGAAAGCAAACCAGGTTTGTATATTTAACGCCACCTTTTCTGGTGTCAGCCAACACATTACTCACAATGGAGACCCATGTTTAAGAGGCAAAACTTTATTGAACAAACTCATTACAAAACAGAAGCCGATAAAATAACACTGTTGTGCATTGCACAGCAATTAAACAGTTAATTTGGTCAAGCAGGGCTTATTGAGCAAGTGGAAAACATATTTCCTAACATTGAAGATAATTCAGTTCAAAACATTTAAAACACAAAATGTGTTTCTATGATCTATTGACATGGTTACAGTACCTTAGCAAAATGCTAATGACTTTTTATATTAATATTTGGGATCACAAAAGATTTACAAATGAACCTTTCCACCTCACAGTATTCAGGTTTAACAATGACTAGCCAGTGTTGCTTGACATGCATTTTGCACCAAACAGAATAGGTTCTCGATAAACAGTTGAGCCCATTTAAGAAGACCTCCACTCCCGACAGTCACTTTTAATGAAAACCATCGACCACTTTGCCTTGGCCCACCTCTAAGTTCTCAGTGGTTAAGGCAGTTCACCATTTATTCTAGAGGGTAGCTTGCTGCAGTGGCAATTCCACAGTGATTGTCTTTGTCTTTGGCCATCAAGATGTATCCGTTCTGACCCCACTTTTCACTCCAGCTGTAAAACAAAAAGTAAAAAACATGAAAACTGGTCAAATACTGGTAACTTAAATTGAGAGGCTTAGAATATGTCAAAGCTGAAAGTACCTGTTCTTAACAATCCAGTATTTCTTTCCATCTGTGTCTCGCTTTTCAACACCATAACCAACAACGAGAACACCATGGTCCAGGTCCGTGGAGCTGCATTCTGCTTCAAAATAAATACCTGGAAGGCAAGATGGCATCAAGTTGCTACAGCAGACCAGATTTCATATTGCTTTGCAAATGAGACCAAAGGAAACCGGAATACGCCTTTCACTTGTGTGCACGCATTTGACCACATAGAGCCCAAGATAGACAGGAACCACAAGTTCCCTTTTCGTAAAGATAGTTCACCACACTTCCCAGCAAAAGGGTGCAAAATCCTTTTCCACAGAAAGGCTAAACAGAACATCAATAGCGAGGACAGTGAAATTCACAAGGAATATTTGACCTCAGAGAATTGAAGTAACTGGCAGATTCCTGGTTTAATTCACAATAAAAAATGCTTTGAATATTGCCCTGCATTAAGCAGTAAAAGTACAAGTCAACAAATTGACACAAGATGGTTGAAATATTTAATTCTATCGCTCATAACTTGGGCAGACTGGACACCCTTCTTATAATTCCAAACTCCCTCCCCCTCAATGAGAAATAAAGCAAGGAACGGATATTTTACAAGATGTTGGGAAAGTGACTATTATAAAGTAATCATGTTTTGGTACCCCATTTTAGAGAATACATTAGAGCCCTCAGCCTGTGGTGAGCAGAACCACAGATTTCTTCATTCAATACATTCTTCACTTCAGATACACAATCTTGCTCATCTTTTAAGACTTAGTGCTGCTAGGGACTTAAGAACTGGCAATCTGCAAGCAAATTTGGTTCCCCGCTAACAAGTGATGAAAATGTACTGGACCAGGTCACATGGTCGGTTTGGTTATCCTCTTGGGAGTGAAAAGAAATCCTGGAATCTTACTGCTTTGTGAAAAAATATTTGCCTATTGCTTCCGCAGCATGACACAGGAAAACAAATGCGTGGCAACAGTCTATAATGATTCAAGGCAATGAATATTCAATGTATCTTACCTGATTGGTAGAATTGAAATGAGGTATGGCCAGCATCAATTGCAACAGAAACTGGTCCAACAGCAGCAATAGCTTTCATCAGGGCTCTTTCCTTCCCACTGGGAATATCCACAAACCCAGTGTCATTCGCAGCATTGTATTGGGGATTATAATGACAGGGGGTATCATCCTGGAAAAAAGTATCCAAAAGTGTAAGGAACACAATCTAAGTGCCAAAAACATTCAAGCCCACCTCAAATTTGAACCAATTCCAAGAGTACGACCACCAACTATTTCTAGATTACATGGCCTATAGAATGTGACTCATCTTTCCTCATACAACACTAACTTGAGTCACAGGAACTACAAAATAAATAAACTGAATCCCTCCCTAAATGACTAGATGTTTTTAAGTTAACATCAGACAGACATTTATACACCAAGCAACAAAATCTCCCTATCCCTGGGCAACTCAATTAACCCCTACTGAATCCCTGCTGGAAAGGCAATTGGACATCAGGTTTAGTTCAGACGCAACTCCTCCAGTCAACCAACCAGCTCACCACTATTCCATATCCAACTAAAGGAGACAAATGACTGCTTACCTCATGGTATCGAAGCCACACCCAAAACATCTCCACAAGGAGGGATGGGATACAAATGTCACACATGCTAAACTACAACTGTTGTGGCAACCATTTACTTTAATAAAGCAACAAGCATGCAACAGACATCTTGGTTACATTAGACCTGATGTAGTAGTCTGCACAATGGATTGCATAAGCCAGTCTCTCCCCATCTGAAAAAAAGGCACCACCAACCAGGGAGGTTTACTTACCGATAGTCATCAAGCCAATAATTTACTCTTAACAATACTTAGTTCTCTTTGACCGAGCCTTCAGCTCCCCTCTCGACTCTCTTCCCCCTTCTCGCTCCCTCCCATCCCTCCCCTCACCCTGACCATTTCCCCCCTCCTCGCTCCCTCCCCTCACCCTGACCATTTCCCCCCTGCTCGGGTCATGACCCAACTGTGCAGCGCCTTGGGACGTCCTCCTGACGTGAAAGGCGCTTTATAAATGGAATCTTGTTGTTGTTGTTTAGGAAAGTTATTTGACAAAATAATGCTTAATCATTAAACGTGCAAGTTCACAAGCAAACTGCATAAAAAATATGACTATTAAGCATTTCGGGCTTTATTATTAAAATTATTATTGTTAGTGAACATTGCTCGAATGTTCATTCTGGCATTGTTCTTACTCTTTATACCTCGAGTGTTTAAAATAAGTTTTAAATTGAACAGTTACCGTTCCAACATATGGATATGAATCTTCTGAATCAATGCCACCGTTATCCTTCACATACTGGAATGCTTGGTCCATTAGTCCACCATTACATCCTTCATTTCCCTCAGGCTTAGAGCATTCCACAAGGTTCTGTTCACTGAGCGAGACAAGTTGGCCAGTTCTCCTGAAGTGTTGACCTTCCAGGGCTCCAGTAGTACTAAATGCCCAGCATGAACCACATTGTCCCTGGAAATAAAAAGGGTTGAGCATTACACTGAGCACTTACCGCAAATTAGTTCCAATTTACTCTTCGTAAAACAAAAGCATACCTGGTCTTTAACTGGAGTGACATATCCCTCATCACGCCAATCTACATGTTTGGGCACTTCTAGAAAGTTAGGCTCCAGGAAATGAGAGCCTTGAAGTTTCTTGTGTGTTTGTTTGTACTTGTACCCGTTCATCAATTGACGGAATTCTTCATTTGGCTGCAAGTTAAACACAAGCTTTGTTTTACACGTTTGCAGTACTTTTAGAAACTATAACAATGTACAGCACAAATGGCAGTCATTTGGCCCATCACGTGTGCTGGCTCTTTGAAAGAGTAATCCATTCAGTCCCATTTACCAGCCTTTTCGTCATACCTCCAAGTAAGATATGCCACTGATCTCTGCAGATTGTTAGTCTCAACTTTCAGATCACTAGACAGACATTCACAAGCATGAACAAATACATTACTTGAGTTGTCAAATAGAAATTACATTAGTCAACCATTATATCCTTCATTTCCCTCAGGTTTAGAGCATGCCACAATAACAGCAGCAAAGAATACAATTTATATTTATTTTGCACCTTTCACATCAGGAGGACCAAAGGACTTAACACTCAAGGTAGGGTTGGAAACAGAAAGATGACTGAAGCCTAGGATACATGCCAGAATCAAGGATTTTGCTCAGTCTTCAATAATTCTTGCAAATCCATTAATTTCCAGGACCCTGTTACTTAGGTAGATACTACCCACATGAAGAGCAATGTATAATGCAAGTTGATGCTGTTTTCGCAAACATCAAAGTCTACATTTTCCAATAGCAATCAAGTCATGGAGAGATCTTGATGACACTCACAAGAACAGCTATTTTACACCAGGATTGCCAGGTGCATCATGACATTAGTAACTTCATTGTTCTCACCTCAGAATATAAATTTCAAACCAGATTGGGATATCTCAGTTACTTTCCTTTTAACAGTAAAACCATATCTCCACCAGTGCAAGTCATTATTTACCATGAGGGACAGGAACATTTCTTGTAAAATGTTGGTAGACTTCAAAAAGCCTACCCAGAGAAGGGACATGGGGCATTCTGCTCATCTCTCTTCTAGGCCAGCAAGGTCCCAATGCAGGTCAAGCTTGTGATTTACAAGACCAAGGTGCAGTTCTTCTTCATGGATCTGAGTTCTGGAGATGCACTGGAAAGAAAGGTTTCCTCCAGCCCATTTGCAAAGTCTAGGATCAAATAACGATTTGGATTTGTGGCAAACATGGGAAACAGCTGCAGGGAGGGAGGGTGCCGACTTGCACTGACCTATAGCTGAGCACCCTGGAGGCAGAATTGGCTTCACAACAAGCACATCTATTTGCCAAAGTCCCTTTGCAGTGGGTTCCTGATGCTTTGGGCAAGGGAGAGAGCAAGATAGAGGGACATTGGGATGGAGTTCCAGAGGCCAACGGAGAATGGCAAAATGCCCATCTGCCACTGGTGAGGTAGACATGGCAGGGGACTTGACCTAGGCCAGTGGTTGCTGAACCAAGGGAATGGCCAGTCACTGTGGCTGAAGTGAGTCACATATGGAATAGGGTGGGACCATGGAAGAATTTGAACACAAAAGCAAGAATCCTGAACTCGATCCCCTGGGGATGGGGAGCCAGTGAAGTCGAGGGAGGATGGGGCGATAGGCTCACAGAGGCTGGCAGGGGATAGTTTACAGCTTGGTTAGGGAAGAGTCTGGCAAACAGGGCAGACATGACAAAAGCGTGTCAGTACCAAACTATACAGAACGGCAGCTGTCAGTCAAGCAAACTCCACATCATCCGGGGACACCATTCTTATTCAGAAATTCACAAACAGATAAAAAGGCCATATTCATCGCATTGCTGTTTACAGTACATCGCTATTGTTGACAAGTCTACACTTTGAAGGAACAAATTTCAAAGTGTTATGACCTCAAAAGTTATCCATCCTCACCATGTCTCCAAAGTGGTTCATTCCCAGTCTGAAAGAATGCTTCCCGAGGGAATGTTCCAAATTGTGAATTTCGATTACGCGGAGATGCTTCTCCCAAACCATCCTCCGCCAGGTTTCTTCCTTCTGAAAAGAGAAGGCAGCCTTCAGGTTCCACACAGCTGCTGAACATGAAAATCTCCTTCAGGCGAGGACCGATTCTAAACGATAGCGGCTTATCCAGTTCGTTACCTGCTCGTAACTCTTGCCGTGCCAGCTCTTCCACTGCTCCCAGTGCGTATCTAAACCGGGATCCAAGCTTGGTGCCGCCAGGCCTCCAGCCAGGCACAAAGACAACACCACGAAGGGCAGCCTCATGGCGGTGGTGAACCTGCGGAAGACAAGGCGGCTCTCGCGTCAAAGCAAACGTCTTAAGCAACTTCAATCGGGGAGCGAAAGGGTTTCTTTCCCACTGGCGCCCCCACATCCCGCTGAACAGTCGTAAGGAAAACAAAACAGCTGTAGGAGAGAGCAGCAGTGGGAGGGCACCGAGAGCAGAGCTGACTCACCACTGACTGTAAACATGGGACAGTCTCGCAACCCCCCACACTCCCCCCCACCCCCCAACACCCCCCACACCCCCCCCACCCCCCACACCCCCCCCACCCCCCACACTCCCCCCCACCCCCCACGTCAAAACCCACAGCAAAACTCAAAAGGCGGTCCGGAATCAGACAGTCGCATCTTTTGAAGAAGAAGAAGAAGAAGAAAAGAATGAAGTGTTTCGGAGGATCGATGAAGTTGCATTGCTGTGTGAGTGTGAGTGTGTGTGTGGGGGTGTGTGTGTGGTGGGGGGGTGGGGGGGTGTGTGTGTGAGTGTGAGTGTGTGTGGGGGGGGTGGGGGGTGTGTGTGTGGGTGTGTGTGGGGGTGTGGGGTGTGTGGGGGTGGTGTGTGTGGGGGGGTGGGGGTGTGGGGGGGGTGTGTGTGGGGCTGTGTGGGGGTGTGTGTGAGTGTGAGTGTGTGTGGGGGGGTGTGGGGTGGTGTGAGTGTGTGAGTGTGGTGTGTGTGGGGGGGTGTGGGGTGTGTGAGTGTGTGGTGTGTGTGTGTGGGGGGGGGTGGGGTGTGTGGGGGGTGTGTGTGGGGGGGGGCTGTGTGGGCAGTGTGTGTGGGGGTGTGGGGGGGTGGGGGGGGGTGTGGGGGGGGTGTGGGTGTGGGTGGGGGGGTGTGGGTGTGGGGGGGGGTTGTGGGGGGGGTGTGGGTGTGGGGGGGTGTGGGGGGGGGTGGTGTGGGGGGGGGGGGGGGTGTGTGGGCGTGTGTGTGGGGGGGTGTGGGGGGGGGGTGGTGTGTGGGGGGGGCTGTGTGGGGGGGTGGGCTGTGTGTGGGGGTGCGTGTGGGTGTGTGTGTGTGGGGGGGTTTGGGGGGGGTCCCCGCGAGGTCGGATCAGAGATCAGGCTGTCGGGTCCCGGGCTTTGCTGAGTCAGTGCCACAGACGTGGAGTAGGAGTCCCATTGATTGGAATGTTTTAAGTTTACATCATTTTTTCCCCATCACCACCACCAACTAAAGCGGCCCCGGGGCTGACCACAAGCCATGGCATATCATTCCCGGACACACACACACACACCACACACACACACACACTCCCCGATTCCCGCAAACGAGAGAATTGTCCCCACACCCTCAACAACAACATCCTGGTTTTCCTAACGACCGAGTTACCAGGAGAGGGAGAGAGAGAGAGGGAGAGGGAGAGAGAGAGAGAGAGAGGAGAGAGAGAGAGAGGAGAGAGAGAGAGGAGAGAGAGAGGAGAGGAGAGAGAGAGAGAGAGAGGAGAGAGAGGAGAGAGAGAGGAGAGGGAGAGAGAGAGAGAGAGAGAGGGAGGGAGAGAGAGAGAGGAGGAGAGAGAGGAGAGAGGGAGAGAGAGAGGAGAGAGAGAGAGAGAGAGAGAGAGAGAGGGAGAGAGAGAGGAGAGGAGAGAGGGAGAGAGAGGAGAGAGGGAGAGAGAGAGGAGAGGGAGAGAGAGAGGAGAGAGAGAGAGAGGAGGAGAGAGAGAGAGGAGGAGGAGAGAGAGGAGAGAGAGAGAGAGAGGAGAGAGAGAGGAGAGAGAGAGAGAGAGAGGAGAGAGAGGGAGAGAGAAGAGAGAGAGAGAGGGAGAGAGAGAGAGAGAGAGAGGGAGAGAGAGAGGAGAGGAGAGAGAGAGAGAGAGAGGGAGGAGAGAAGAGAGAGGAGAGAGGGAGAGAGAGGGAGAGAGAGAGGAGAAGGAGGGAGAGAGGGACAGAGAGGAGAGAGAGGAGAGAGAGAGAGAGAGAAGAGAGGGAGAGAGAGGAGAGAGGGAGAGAGGGAGAGAGAGAGGAGAGGGAGAGAGAGAGAGAGAGAGAGGAGAGGGAGAGAAGAGAGAGGAGAGAGGAGAGAGGGAGAGAGAGAGAGGAGAGGGAGAGAGAGAGGAGAAGGAGGGAGAGAGGGACAGAGAGGAGAGAGAGGAGAGAGAGAAGAGAGGGAGAGAGAGAAGAGAGGGAGAGAGAGAGAGAGAGGGAGAGAGAGAGAGAGAGGGAGAGAGAGAGAGAGAGAGAGAGGAGAAAAACAGATCCTTTGCATAATGCAAAGAAAGCCGAAGCATTTCTAACCCACTTTACTAATACAGAGATATATATATATATATATATATATATACACACAATAGGAAAACAGAAGTGAGGAAAACGAGGATTACAATTCCGCCCCAAAATAAAACAACATTCACGATGCCGCTGGTCGCGGTGGTATGCAATTCCCCCCCTCCCCCCCTCCCCCTCCCCTCCCCGGGGGGGAGCCCGGCACAGCCGCCCACAGATACAGGACCTTCCCGGGGGGTGTGGGGGGGAGTGGGTGACTGAAGGCTCTCCTCACCTGTCTCAGCTCTATACCGCAGTAAACAAAGCGCCGCTGCCCTGTGGGTCAGTATTGGTCAGTGCCACTCACTCCGCTGCCCTGTGGGTCAGTATTGGTCAGTGCCACTCACTCCGCTGTCCTGTGGGTCAGTATTGGTCAGTGCCACTCACTCCGCTGTCCGGGCTCTGGACTGAGCTCTGTGCGGACCCGCACACCCACTGCCTTTATAGGCAACAGCGCCTCTCGCCTCTTCCCATTGGTTTGCCACCGCCCCCCCGTCCCTCCCCCGTCCCTCCCCCGTCCCTCCCCCCGTCCCGCCCTCCCGCACGTGACCGGCGCTCAGCTGACAGTCCCCTCCCGTGAGAGTGACTGACATACCATCCAGACTCCCAAAGGTTGCATTGCGACCCCCCTGACCACCCCCACCCCACCCCCTCCCCCTCCTCCTAATAATGATTAACATACGGATAAGAGTCTTCTTCAGAGTCAATGTGTTTCTCTTTTTTTTTTAAGATTTAATATTTCCCACTGCTTTTGTTTACCCGGACCCCCAAAATGCAATGAATTTAGGTGATAATTCAATTTGTTAATTGACCAATGTAATGAATCACCCACCGTTGGGCGAATAATCAATTCAGCAATTAATCAATTCATGTCACCGGTGTGTTTTGCCCCACCCCAAGAACATTTTCGACTGAGATGCTTCCATTTTGTACCCCAGCGCTCAAGGAAATACGTCGTAAATTAATTCATTGATTAATTGACTTTGCGTTTCATAAATCACATCACCAAGATATCTCAAAAGTACTTGTAGGGATTACTTACACGCAATTTGCACACAGCGATGTCCTATGCAAATTGCATGTAAGTAAATACGCATTACAGTCACAAAGTTTACATACAGCCGTGAAGTGAGCGAGCAATTTTATCTGGGGTTTCCTGGTCAGGACAACCTTCTCTTTTCAAATTGTGCCGTGGGATTTTTAACTTCCACCTGAACAGGCAGAAGGACTTCGGTTTAACATCACATCTGAAGGACGCATACCTGCCAGTCTGCAGAAGAAAATAAAGTAGCAAATTTTCAGCAAAGCAAAGCTGCAGATTTGTTAATAGCCCTTTTTCTTAGAGCCAGAGTACTATCAACTGAACCAGGCTGACACCAATTATTAGCTTTATATGAAAGAAAACAAATTGGGCATTACTTTACCATCTCCTTTTTTCCCATTTTTCTAACGGAGGGACAGGAGCTTACATCTCTGCTACACCATTTCAGTCAATGTTCTTGTGTGAATCCAGACACTGAGCGTCTCCAAGTTAGGGGCATCACAGCCAAACCCAAATTTGTCCTTGAACAGATAATGGAATGAGTGTCCATTATTCACCTACTTTCCAGTCCATGTGTAAAAGTTGATAGAGGTGGAGCTATGACTATTTTTACTTTTCATAAGGGGTCATTGTGAATTGCAATGCTCTACTGCTGCCTGAAGAAGAGATTAACTGATTCAATGCAGAACAGGAATGGAAACTGGGACCTTCTAAGGCTATGTGAGGCTATGTACCACACTAGGTTATTTAGTCAGCCATTGGCAGAGTTGATATTATCCTATTAGATACAATATAAGTATCCATTTACTAAGTAAATTGTGTTTCAAATAACAATTGCTGATTGCTTTATTGCGGTTACATAAAAGACGTAATTACAGTACAGAAAGAGGCCATTCAGCCACGTAGACCATACCATTGTTTCTTTACCCCTCCTAATTTCTTTGCCAGACCCCTCTATTCCCTTCTCCCTCACATACACTTCATGTTTCCTCTTGTATGCATTGGTGCTTTCTTTTTCAACCACAGGTTCCAACAACAAGTTTCAATTAATCAATGAATTGTTGGTAATTCACATTAAAGGAGGGCCAATTAAAAGCATTTATCATCTTTTCTTAATGATCTATTGAATAAAGACTGTGCTGCAACATCAAACCATGAAGCCCAGAAGGTTCAAGATTTGATTTCCAATCTGTATTAAGTTAAATGACCTCAGTAGTTGGGATAGCAAATGCGGTGCCATAATTAGTCAAGTGATAATAATTTAGTCACTCAATCCACGACTATTTGTGAGACACTGCTGCATGCAATTGGCTGCTGCGTTTCGCCCACAAAATATACAGTCAATTCACTTTACATTATTTTCTGTGAAGCACTTTGAGACATCTCAAAGACGTGATAAGGCACTATATCAAATTCAAGGATTATTATTATTAAGTGTCTCTGAGCCAGGGAGATGAAGCAATCATCCAGTGTCCCCACTCTTAATCATTATTCAATGACCTCTGTGGGTCAATAGATACCAGTGGGAGCCCCCATTTGGGTAACTTGGATTTCTTATTCAGGAAATCTATTAAGAAATACTTCATAAATGCTATAAATTTGACCCTATTGTGTATATGTATATAAACGTAAAAGGTTGCCATTTTTCACAAAGACATTGTCTCAGATTAGAGTTGCACAATATGCTTCAGTCTCAGTCTGCTGAATTGTTTTTACTCTCGACTGAACTAATTGAAATGAATATTTGTGTAAAAGTATGAAATTGTTATTAAGTTCATAACCAAAACACAAATAATCAATACATATGTACAGGTTGCACAGTTGATGCATTGGGACTCCATTCCTTCATTTGCAATATCTGAAGCTACATCCTTTTCAAACTTGAACAGTAACAAACCTAGATCTGAAATAAGTAAAGACAACATTATACTAGCATTGATTCTTAAATATATATTTTTCTATGGCTCTAAAAGGTTTGTTACAAGATCAATCATGTTCTTTTCAACAAAAAAGTGCTACATCATGAATGATAAATTTATCAAACAAGTTAGTCTACGATTCATAGGAAATAGCAAATGAATCAAACCGTTTTTTTTCACTGAGTTTTTTGTAACACTTACTTATAGAGAATGTCTGAGTTCTACATTGGATAGCACCTTTGCCAGGGGTTCTCAAATCCTTCTGCAATTTGTCTTTTCACTTGTGGATGGTGCACAACGAATGCTTAATGCAATTTTGCAAGTTTATTGTAAACAAATGATTCAAATTTATTTATTTTGTAGAGCATTTTCTGACCTAAGAAAACCTAGTTGAAACATTTACAGCTTTTACAATGTGCTAAAACAGTATTTGCAATAATTCCTGACATGGTTTAAAATAGGAATGCTTTCACTGTAAACACCTACTGATTTTAGTTACATCACAATGCTTCATATTCATGAGATGTCATAAATTATACCTTCTTGGCATGAAGTTTCAGATTATTTGTTTCCAATGAAGGATTATGCTTTTTGTTCAGCGTGCTTTCTGACATATTCAGAAACCCAGAATATATTCAGTTTATCAGAATATTTTTCATTTTACAAAACTTATCAAAGTGGAGAATTTTGGTCTAACAAACTGTCCAAACCCATTAATTTTCCAAACCCAAGCAAATTCTATAATTGTGTTACTACACAGACCAAATGAAACCTGGCATATTGAATAATATTTTTCTTGAACAATTTTGAACTTAAATTCAAAATAACATTCGAAAATGTGCCTCTTCAGCTTTTTCCTCTTGTTAAAATACTTGTTACCACATGACTATTTGCTTCAGGAAGGTGAGCAGAATAATAGAATGCTGAGTCCCATGACTGTAGGCAAGTCTTTCCAAAATTAGTCAACAGGAAACACCCTTTCAACTGGGCCGGCTGACTATTGGAGTTTTTCCTCCTTATTGCACTTTGTCTCGTGCTCAACATAAAACTAGTAAAAACTGCTCACAAATATTAAATCGTAAACTCACCTGCTCCCTGTCTCTTAAGAGATCATAGTTGAATATTCAAACAACATGTACTTGTGAGCCCTTCACTGTGCACGCTGGAACATTTTGATTTCAGATGTAGCAATGAGAAGGCAAAGGCCAAGTGACTTTCCTACAGAAATCCTAGCATTTGGATGAATAGCAGCATTGGAAGAGGCTTGGTGACAAGTTATCTTTTGTCTTTGGAACTGTGTGTGATACAGGGGTGTAAAGATGAGACAAAGTAATGGAAAATGCGTTGAAGGTGGCTGCTCTTGCCTGGATTCAATCCTATCTCTCTCACCGTCTCCACTTTGTTGCCTCTAACGGTTTCTCCTCCAGCCCCTGCACTGTCATGTCCAGTGTCCCCCAGGGCTCTGTCCTTGGCCCTCTCCTCTTTAATATCTACATGCTCCCCCTTGGTGACATCATCCGCAGACATGGGGTCAACTTCCATATGTACGCAGATGACACCCAACTCTATCTTTCTGCCTCCACCCTAACTCCAGGACCACTGTGTCCTGACAGACTGCCTGTCGGACATCAAGTCCTGGATGAGGGCAAATGTCCTACAGTTGAATGTGAACAAGACTGAGGCCCTCCTGATTGGCTCACACCAGCGCCTCAGCACCTCAGGCTCTGGCAGCATCAGCCTCCATGGTTGCACACTTCAACTCACCAAACCAGTCAGGAACCCAGGTGTCTTGTTCGACCCTCAACTGTCTTTTCTTCCCCACATCCAAGCCATGACCCACTCTGCCTTCCCTCACCTCCATAACATCGCCGGACTCCGCCACTGCCTCAGGCCACTGAAACTCTTGTTCATGCCTTCATCACCTCCAGGCTCAAATATGCAAATAACCTTCTTGTCGGCCTTCCCAATTCCTCTCTCTACAGGGCTGCAGATAATCCAGAACTCTGCAGCCTGTGCCCTCTCCCGCACCAAAATCCGTGATCCCATCTCCCCCATTCTCCATTGGCTCACTATCCTTCAGAGGATCCAGTTCAAGATCCTGGTCCTCACATACAAAGCCCTCCATGGCTTCGCCCCACCCTACCTCTGCGACCTCCTAACCCGCTATCAACCCGCCTGCTCCCTCCACTCAGCCGGCTCTGGCCTGCTCCATGTCCCCCGACCCACCCTCCCCACCATTGGCGGGTGAGCCTTCAGCCACTCTTCCCCCAATCTCTGGAATTCCATCCGACAATCACTCCACCTCACCCCCTCCTTAGCCTCCTTCAAGTCCCACCTCAAAACCCTCCTCTTTGACCATTCCATTGGCCACCCCCATTCCCCTCCCCTCCCTTCTCCCCTCTGACCCCAGCTAGGGTCTGAAATGCTGTACACTGTCCAGCGCCTTGGGACGTCC